GAGCATGCCCTGGACCACCGGTGGCATTCCTATAAACACAAGCAAAGGCAAGTCAAGAATTCAGCTTGAAGAAACGTAGGTGCAAGTTTAAAAAAAGGAATTGCATTAGAAATCCTTTTAGTCACGCATTCGTCAGATTCTGACATGTCCTCTACATGTTTTGCAGGCTCTCCTGCGCTCTTGAAAGCTGATCTAAATCAAACGAGTGTTGAAAATAAGTGGCTTTACGACATTTTCATATATCTACAAAGTTAATTTCCAATACGGAATACTTAGCACCTAGCAACACACTCGCGTGACGAGAACCGTGAAGATCCCGGTCAGAATTGATCTTCAGTAACTCCATGCTTGTCGTAAGAGGCGACTTACGGGATCGGATGGTCAGGCTCGCTGGTTTGGTTGACACATGTCATAGGCATCCCAATTACGTAGATCGATGCTCATGTTGTTGATCACTGGATTGTCTGGTCCAGATTCGATTATTTACCGCCACCATATAGCCGGAATATTGTTGAGTGCGACGTTTAACAACAACAAACCAAACAAATACTGGTCCCGGGTTATGTCCGATGCTCGTTATAAATGTGACCCTCGGCAGGTTTAAGATAGTGGAACTTGGTCGGTTTGTCCATGATAATATTGGGTCCATCGCTACTTGACGTTTTGAACTTTAACGTTTTGATACCGTATTTCATTTTGTTATGTTATTGATCACATGCAATTTTCAAGATCAGTTTCTTGTCCAATGCATTGTATTTGTGCCCCAGATATTGACACTGTTCCTAATATAGCACACTCCGTATTTAGATGTTGACAATGGGCTTGTATCGGATGTATCGAGATAAGAACAGTTCAACGGTAAATAATTACAGCCTCACGTCTGGCAAAGATCATGCATCAATCCTATATTCAATCAAACATAATCCAACGCTGGCATGTTGAAATAAATCTACTAATTTAATACCTGAAATAAGATCTACAGAATTAATCTTAACCAAATAAAATCATTATACCAGTAATCTCGCTTTTCAAAAATATATACTGACGTGATAACGCGAGAACTTGCGAGATTTGGTCCCGGATTAACGTCATAGCGCTGGGCTTAATTAGTTTCTTTGATAGTGAAGTCTCACGCTATGCCGCGAGATTTGGAGCCAGGTTGTCACAATATTGATACTACCAAGGAAAAGGATTTAGAGTTACGGTAAATAAATCTTAACCTATATTCATTACCAATGACAGTTTGAACTCCGTCAGTGCCTTGTGCTTGGATATACTGAGTTGTAATTTTAGTAAGAGAAGGTTACCCAGAAAAATGGACTTGTTAGTCTGGCGAAAGTGAAACCTCGTTATTCCGAATACCGTTATTGGTACTGATCCTAATGAAATCGTTTAAGCTTTTGTCCGCCGGAACGAATCATCAATAACATTTTTGCATATTTGCACATATTACAATATTCAGTAATGGAAATAATGCTTTCATATCTGTGTTGTGTAGTGTTACAGTCCCTTTTCAGGCTAGCGACGTTTTTTGAGCCTTTGGAATTGTTGGGTTTTTTCGATTCAGTTTATACGTCACTTAAAAAGGTAGGAACTCATCCCAGCCTAAACACCCACCTTCACCCGTGTGAGCTGGAACTTCGCTCGGCCACAGTGTTTGACAAGGTTGAGGGTGATTGCTCATGCTGTCACCCACATGTTTTCCTGACTCAGAAGCAGGTAATAGATGGAATTGTTTAGACACCTTTTCCTCTCTGAATATGCAATACGTACCGTGGCAAAATTCAAACAGCAATAAAAAAGTTTGGTATATTCTTATGCTAATAGGTGTCCAATTAGTCTCATGGTTAAGTCGTTCGCTGGTCAAACCGAAAAGCCGGGTTCGATTCCCCACAAGGTTAGTTCTCTATTTCCTGGTCGAAACTCTGCTTGAATATACAACTTGGTAAAAGCGGCGTAGAATCATACCCACTCACTCACTCATTAACTGGTGTTAAATAACTATCCGAAAGTGAATGCCTCGTGAAGAATTGATCTTCGTGAACCCATGCTTGTCGGAAGAGGCGACTAACGGGATCGGGTGGTCAGGCTGCTGACTTGGTTGACACTTAACCTCGTACCCCAATTGTGTAGATGGATGCTCATGATGTTGATCACTGGATCGTCCGGTTTAGACTCAATTACTAACCGACTGCTGCCCATATCTGGGATATAACTGAGTGTGGCCTAACAAAACAAAACCTAAAGTCAATGATAGTTATCATTCTGACATTGTGAAATTGCTGTAAGAGGAAATATCAGTTATCAGAGTACGAAAAAAAACAGTACTTCAAACATTTCTTTATTTCTTTGGAAGGGAGTGCCGGAACACGGCTTCGATTACGTCTGTCAAGAAATCTTACGGATTTACAGCAAAACCAGTACATACGGTGCACACGTACCGCCTGATACTATCAGTAGAGTGAAACTTGGCCACAGATTCAGTCATGCAGGTAGAGTCTAGTGATTTCAGCTCAGGTTATTAAAGGAACACAGAGCCTTGTTGTATGGGAGAGGTCCCATGGCACCACGGCGAGGTGAAATTGGGTTTAACGTCGCGCTTGAGAATTTTTCGCTCATATGACGACGTGCATGCGTGTGTATGTGTATGTGCGGCTGCTTGTACTAGCCCAGATTGAAGCTGGTTTTATAGTGCTAGCCCACTGAGATACCATGCCGCAGTGAAGCATGAATACCCCACTCAGACACATTATACTGACTCCGAGCCGACCAGTCCTTGATGTACCCATTAATGCCGAGCGCCAGGCAGGGACCAACAAATACCATATTTTAACGTCTTTTGGTTTGGTATGACGCGGCCGGGGATCGAACCCGCGACCTTCGGGTGGTACAGTGTGTGTGGAGGTGGGCATACCGGGTGTTGTAGGGGGTGGGGTTAAGTGGTTTGATGGTACAGTGTGGTATATGGAGGTACGGGTAGTTTGCGGAACGGGTGGGGTGATACAGGGTGGTGTTTTGTTTGTGTGCTGGAGGTGGATTAATGTGAGGATGTATGAATGGGTTATACAGGGTGGTGTGATACCGAGTCGGGTATTTTAGTATGATAGGATATCTATCTCTGTACTCCAGGCTGCACATACACACTGACAGCAAACGATCATGAATACATCACAAAAGTAAACAGAGGCTGGTTGAATAGAGTGAGTGAGGTAAGTTTTGCGCAGCTTTTAGCAATATTCAAGCAATTACACGGCGGGGGACACCAGAAATGGGCTCCACACATTGTACCCATGTGGAAAATCGAACCCGGTACGTAGGCGTGACGAGGGAACGCTTTAACCGCTAGGGCTGTCTCACCGCCCCAGTTGAATAGACTGACTGACTGACTGAGTTTAGTTTTACGCCGCTTTTAGCAATATTCCAGCAATATCACAGCGGGGTACACCAGAAATGGGCTCCACACATTGTACCCATGTGGAAAATCGAACCCGGTACGTCGGCGTGACGAGCGAACGCTTTAACCGCTAGGCTATATCACCGCCCCGGTTGAACAGAGCTCCAGTGGAGAATCGAAACGCACGTTCAGTCGACACCCGTGTTAAATATACCGAATACACAATTCCTATGTGTTTCATGTTTAGCCACCAAACATGGGTGTGTATTTTGTTTCATCCTGATGTTCATATAACCCGCATCACAAACGTCACATGCTACGAAAATGCGTTCCAGCATGTCTTTGTAAGATTTTCATTTGTTTTTTTAGAAATGATAAATAATTACCTTGAAAAAGATAAGGATGATGAGTTGCAGCTTGTCAGTTAAACTACACCTTGAATGCCTCTACGGCCTAATAATTCACCAGTAGGTCCCTGGACATCTACAGGTAGTTTAAGAACCATGTCATAATTAAAGGCTCCAGCTGTCGCAAGCAAATCCTTTCTTGAAGCATGCGAGGCATGTACTGACTGCACGTGTTAGATGTGGTCGACAAGGTGTTAGATTTCCTCCGTCTCTTTTCATACAGACTGACAAAAGACAGATACGGATGACGAATTCAGGAAAAAGGAAACCCAAGACGATCCGGTCTTATCAGAAGATTGTTGGGAGATAAACAATAGTACCGCTAGGAAATACAAAGGCAGGAGTTTATGATGAAATTTAACCAGATTCACGAGAATTGTAGGCAAGGCTTTTGCTGACGATGGTGGGATTTTTTTTGTAGCGAAATGATACTACTATGGAAATCTGTGAGTGCATTATTAACGTGTAGCAGTAGTACTACTATATGAAGATGGTGAACTGTGTGTAAATAAGTACTGGAAAACGTTAGGGTTGACCGTATTTTAGTAAGCTTCCTATAAACCAGTGGTATCCATTTATTCAATTTCGGACACTATGTCATAGACAATCAGCTGAACTAGGCACATGGAATGGTATACCCTTAATGGAACAAACCTATAACCTATGTCAGTGTAACTGCGTTGGTTATAACCTGGATACCATTCTTAAGGGAAACAAATAACTTACTCCCTGTGTAAACCAGAAAATAGTTGAATCCGTCCACGTTTATATAACCAAGACACAACGCTTCAAATTTTCTCAGGAAAATAATTAAATTTACTCAACAACCTTCTCATGATTGATTTATATTTCTACAATGGCTTGTTAGACACACACAAATGTAACTCTCTAACTTATGACTACTTAGAGAATAGTTGTATTTCATGTAATCTGTATATATTTATATATATTTAAAAATATTATATTTATGCAATGGTCAGTATCGATGACGTCAAATCCTCCATTTCATGTTGTATTATATGTTGCATGGGAGCGGTGTTAATATAAGCAGTAATGCTTATTCACCAATCCCATCTTCATGAATAAAAATATGTTGAAATCAACTGCGTTGGTGATGAATACCTTGTTTGAGTGGCATTTTATGTTAAGACGTACAATATAGAACCAACTTTATGGATTACAACTTCTTTATTCCGTGAGTTCGACGTTTCTATACAGATTCTTGTACCGTTGTCAAGCAGGAATGATACATGAAGAGGAGGAGATGTATATACATGTGTATACTGAATGTAACAATGAGACAACATAATTGACAAAGAAAATGACATAATTGACATAATTGGTTAAGCAGTAATGAATACCATGTGATGAATACCAGGCATTTTTGTGCTGCGATTACTTTACAAAATATAGAAATAAATGTTGTTTCCATATTTTTATGTTCATCCAAACGTGTTAAAATTGGTGCACTATTTTTTAAAGTAAGAACAAATCTGTTCTTAGAAAGTTAAGTAAACTCTGTTCTCTCCACATACTAAACTGCAAGTCCTCTATATAAACACATACTCTCATCTACCCTTACATAATATTTTTGAATTGGTATGGGCATAAATATATCTTTTAGTCCCACTACCATACATGTATTTTGAATAATAATGTAGATTAAACATCATATGCCTCGGATAGTGGCCTGAAAGTAATACATGCTCTGCTCTGTTCTGACATTTTAGTTCAGTGTTTCTGGGGGATGGGGTGTGTGGGGGGGAGGGGTGTATAGATGCCTGACTTGATCTGCTCAAGGTGTACATCACTGGGCACGAATTAACCAGTAGTAAAATTTTTACATGGTCTGGCATTGCGTTATCAACCTGCTAACTGTCTTTAAAAGGAACGGAGAGTATTTCATTTGAAAGTTTATTTGATGAGATATTGTAATGGCGCCACGTATAACCTAACCAACTAGCATCAGGCTCACATTTCGGGAGGAATCTTGTAATCGGAAAATCTATACATCGGGAGCGTGCCAACTGTGTGACCCCACCGTGCTATAGTAAATCTGACCTTTATCAGCCATGCTTAGTCATCGTATCAGTATATATACACTTTTACAAGCGACAATCTACGAGGGACCCACGTGGCAGAGATATTCTATATTATTTGAGGCACATACAATTTTAAAAGGTCACAATTTCGCGGAATTTGGGTTCAAGCATTCCAGACTAAATTTATCTGATTGTAACCTTACCGTTTCAAGAGAGATTGCAATCACGACTTTCTATGATACCACGTTGGTCGAAACCCTGTAAGAAATTATTATAGGAAGGACATTTCTAACAGTGGGGCAAGAATAAATTAGTTGATTCCTATCCACTGGGGGTAAGAACTGAATGATTTGAAAACGTGTTTTTTTTCCATCGACCCCACAGTATTTCATTCACAACACGCCACGACAGCTGGATGTTGGACCCCTTGTCTAAATATAGACAAACATTAAGTCAAAAGTAGTAGTATTTTATCCCTTGAAACAATATAAAGCAGCCTATAGTGGGTAACGAGAGGTCAGGAGGGGTGGGGAAGAGGGATAGAGGGGGTGGATGCCGGGATTGTTTACTTAACAAGCAATACTTACTCTTTCTCTGTTGCAATTTAATCGACAATGATAACATTATTTTCAATCGTCGGTTCCATTTAAAATTTGCGGGCACCGAATGCCTAATCAGCTTTTCTGAAACTCCTAACTGAATCCCATAAATATGAGCAGAAATGTGGTTGACGAAATTTAGTTCGACGGCGCTCCAATGAAACAAACGAATCATGATTTGATCTTGTATTGAAACGTTATCATCGCATGAAATCCAGCATTGGTGACATAAGTTACCTCCCTTTGAACTGACCATCAACGTAAATATTTTGCTGAGAGTTCGAAATCTATCGCTATGTCCAAGGTGGCACAATATTCAAGATTCTCTTGTTTAGAATTACAGATACCAAACACAAGTATATATGCAAATAAACAAGTTATACAGACAGGTTAAATTAATCTGGATATATTATATAGTGATGAAGTATATATAAGTACCACTTTGTTGTATCTGAAATTCGTCGTTATATTCGAGGATGGTTGCGCTAAATCTCGGCGATCAATATTCTATGCTGTGCCTGTGTCTTGTTTAGCTAGATTAAAGGGGATTCGTTATATCCGAAATTCGTCATAGGGCTGTTCCTTATAAATAGGACTTATGTCTGGTCGCATTTAATCATAATCGATTAAAATGGGTTCGTTATATCCGAAGATAACTTCGAGGTATCTCACCGCCTTATATTCGATTTGGTATTTAAATATTTCATGGCGGGTCTGTTTCTGTTAACAAAGATTTCATGGAGTAGGTAGGTGTTCGTTATATCCGAACTTCAATTCAGGCGACGTCTTTATATTAGAAGTCGACTACGCTTAATGTTGGCATTGAAATATTTCATGCAAGACCCTTGGATTTCAAAGAATCAAAATAAATAGATTTATTATATCATAAACACGATTTTGCCGACTTGTCCATATTCGAGTTGGACAGCACCACTGCTGGCATTGAAATATTGTATACAAGACCGGGGATTTCAAGGGGATTAAAATTAAAAGATTTATTATATCAAAAACTCGTGAATTTCAAAACTATTGAAAGAATAGATTTGTTATGTCAGAAAATCGATATAGCCGAATTCGTTATACCTCGTGTTGGATGTCCTCGCTAAGTCAGGCCCTCCGAGTAAAGGAGGTTAAAGGGTTTGGATTTAGAAAGGGGTGAGTGAATTTAGTTTTACGCCGCTTTTAGCAATATTCCAGCAATATCACGGCCGGGGACAACAGAAATGGGCTTCACACATTGTACCCATGAAGGGAATCGAACTCGGGTTTTCGGCGTGACGAGGGAACGCTTTAACCACTAGGCTACACCAGCGCCCGGATTTAGAAAAGGATATTTGACTCAGAACTGAAATGTTACGTGGGAGATGTGAGGACCCGTGAAGACCCGGGTAAGAATTGGTCTTCAGTAACCCATGCTTGTAAGAGGCGAATAATTATAACGAGATCGGGTGGTCAGGCTGGTCTACTCCCATTTGTGAGAACTACCAGTCGTGAGACTCCCAGTTATGAGACAGTGGAGTAGGTAATTAGCAACGAAAACACACCATACTCCCCTGTCTGATAGAATGGATTCAGCCTAGCTAATTACTGATTTGCTATGTAACTGAATCTTGTGGAGGTAACTTTATGAAACTTTATAAGAAAAAATGATTAACATACTCAGGTAAATATCTGTAATAATAAAACACTTTGTGTAGGTAACTTCGTGATCAAAGACAAATTAATTTTCCTACTCAGATTTACTCCGTCTCCGAAACTACAAGCTATAGTTTAAGAAATAACTCTGAAATAACTCTGAAATTTACAGTCGAAATGCCCCATATGCCAAACCCTTTCTACCCGACACAATAAATTTATGGAATGCCCTACCAAATTCCAAAGAGTCATGCAGTCTCAAAAAAATTTAAAACCTAATTACAAAAACCGAAAATAAGATTTATATTGATCTTAATTATGGCTCTTGTTTTTGTCAAATCGTTCATTGCTGCCTCAGGCTCGGATCTAGCGACCTAAACGCCGATAAGTATAACAGACATTTAATAGACAGTGCGTGTTGCTCTTGTGGATATCAACTACCCGTTATAACCTGGATAATTGTTTGAACGGAAACAAAGAATTTACTCCTTGTGTAAACCAGAAACAACCTTCTCGTGATTGATTTATATTCCCACAATAGCTTGTTAGACACACACAACTGTAAGTCTCTAATTGTGACTACTTAAAGAATAGTTGTATTTGATGTAATCTGTATATATTTATATGTACTTAAAAATATATTTATGCAATAGTCAATAGCGATGACGTCACATCCTCCATTTAATTTTTTATTTTATGTTGCATGGGAGCGGTGTTAACATAAGCAGATATACTTCACCAATCCCAATTCATTTTCATAAAAGTGACGTAAATTGTAATAATTTTAGTTGCGGTAAAATATACTAAATATTTACGTAAATTGTAATAACAGTTTTAATTATACATCCATAAGCTTGTTAGAGTGATAACTCAAGAAATGATGGATTTTGTTCAAATTTGGTACCAAGGTTTCGTGGCGAGATTCACCGACACCTGTTGAATTTAGTGACCTTGAGATAATTTGCAAGGTCACAGCAAAAACCTCAGGGTTTTGCCAATATAAAGATTGTTAGCGCGATAACTCAAGAAAAAATAATAGATTTTGATCCAATTTTATATCAAGGTGTATTAGCGGGATTCCTCCTACATAGTACACCAGTTGATTTGGGAACTTATGTTCATTTTGAGTTCACAGCGAAAATTGTATTGTTTTGCACATGCCTAGCTTTTTAGTGCCAGTCGAATTCAATGATCTTCGGATAATTTTCAAGGTCGCAGCGAATATTCTTGCGATATTCCCCAAACTAATGGGTGGAATTTGTTCGCTTATTGTATCCGATGACAGTTTCGGTAACGTTTAGATAATTTGTACGGTCACGCAGAAGATTATTGCGATATTCACATATCGACATGTGGCGGGGGTAATAGCTGTGTTTGTGACAAAAATCCTGTTCATTACGGATTTTGAAAATGTTGTTAGAAATTGGTTTCTAAAATTTCATGTTAGTTCTACCAGCTGTGAAATTGTTCGTGACACGTCTTAAAACTACCAGAGATTATTTGTGTTTGTTTTGAATATTAAAGTTAATTGTTTTTCACTATGGAGTTATTTTCACTGTTGACGCAAGGACACATTTCACGAGCAATATTTCACGAGATTTCAATATTTTAATGTTAATTCTATTACATTTTGAAGTTCTTCATGGCATATCCAAAATTAACAGGATATTGTTTGTATAAGCTTTGAAAGTACGTTTATTATTCTTCATTTTGAAATTATTATCAATGTTGACGTAAGGACATATTTGGAGTTAATTTGATGTTTTGATCATATGTGATTTATTATGATTTATGTTTCGATCATACATTCATATATTGCGTCGTCACAGTTTAACCGGGTTCGTATTATTTTCTTCATCACATTACTTCATATTACAGTACTTTTAATGAGAGGGAATTTGATGTTAAATTTGCTAAGAACTTCATGAATCTCTGGTGCCTGGTTATTCCATGCCACATAGCAGTCAATCTGTCTACTCATTTGTTGTATTTGATTGATGCATTTAAAATAAAATGTAGAAATGCTATTGAATTGTATCAATTTGTTTCAAGGAATCGATCATATGTGCTCGTTATCAAAGTAAAGTCAAACCTTCTGTAAGGTATACAATGT